CTGTAAATAATGGAATCTGAAATTCCAGTGATTAACATCATGAGCATCGATCCTAACAATACGATGACATGCATCAACCAAGTCAGCAAGCCTGACCACCCGATCCCGTTAGTCATCTCTTACGATAAGCAGTCTCCTTTTACGTCAAGCATGGGTTGTTGAAGACCTATTCTACCCCGGTTCTTCACATGAACACCCAATGGGTGCTGCGAACCATAGGTAATTTTCAGGGGAAATCTTGGAGAAGAATTCACAAACAACAGATCCTGTCATCGCTAAGGGGCATAACTCTGCACATCGGGTTGCTGATGCTAAAAACACCCGGGTATTTTGGTCTAGAGGACAATGTTAAACGTACCGACCACAATATGAAAGTAATACGGAATTTGATAGTAATATATCTCCTTCTTTCTCATTTTCCATGCATACAAGTTTGAAGTTGTAAAACGTTCGTTTGCATGTGTTTACTAATAAATTGACGGCGCCTGTCGCGGAGTGAGTGAGTGAGGTAATGCTTTACGTCACATCGGCAATATTTCAGCCATATCGTGACGAGAAATTAGACATGAAATATACATATATTTAAACTTTCTAAAAATCTGTCATCGAAGGACAGTATGAGAACTAGAATATCACAGATAAGATTTTAAAACTAGTTGCGGAACATTTAAAAGAAATAAGTATTAAGGAACAAAACAATATAAAAATGGGCTAGAGATCGTCAGTAACTAAAGGGAGATCACCACACCAGGGACCATGGGGACGCCTGTCGCGGAGAAACCAGATGGTGATAAGTGTCTCGTTTGTTCGCTGGAACCCCAAACGAACTTGTGCGCTCGTTTTTGGACACGTGCTTGACCGAATTCATGAATACTTTCTCAAACAGTGCCATGTACAAAGAGACAAGTCTAGAATGATAAGAACGGTCAAAGGTCATAGGACTGTTTCAAAAGGTGACCTAGTGTAAGACGAGTACTAAGGAACATATCATGTTAGACCATATCTAAGCGAGTCTACTTCCGCCATGGACTTCAAAGTTTGAAAGGGTGGGACAGTGTTTCAGTACCATAGGTGATGTGAAATGGGGTTTAACGTCGTGTCCAAGATTACTGGTATTTTATAGCGACGTGCATCTACGGGTGTGTGTGTTTGGCTGCTTGTACTAATGCCCATTTTATTGTGCTAGCCCATGCCGCTGTTTAACATAGATACCCCACTCAGACACAATATACTGACCCCGAGCCCAACTGGCCTTGTTTTATCCCGAGCGCCAGGCAGGTAATAAGTACCATCTTTGAACGTGTTTTGGTATGACGCGGCCGGGGATCGAATCCACCGACGTTGCGCTCTACCACTAGTCCACGGAGGCTGTCTTCTGTAACAAAGGTTAGCAGTGTATGACAGTTTGTATGTATGTTTCAGTCACACAGGTGATTACAGTGTATGACAATGTTTCACTAACACAAAGGTTAGCAGTGTATGACAGTTTGTATGTATGTTTCAGTTACACAGGTGATTACAGTGTATGACAATGTTTCACTAACACAAAGGTTAGCAGTGTATGACAGTTTGTATGTATGTTTCAGTCACACAGGTGATTACAGTGTATGACAATGTTTCACTAACACAAAGGTTAGCAGTGTATGACAGTGTGTATGTATGTTTCAGTCACACAGGTGATTACAGTGTATGAAGATGTTTCACTAACATAAAGGTTGGCAGTGTGTGGAATGTTTCAGTAACAAAGGTTGGCAGTGTGTGGAATGTTTCAGTAACAAGGGTTGACAGTGTGGAATGTTTCAGTAAGGTTGGCAGTGTGTGGAATGTTTCAGTAACAAAGGTTGACAGTGTGGAATGTTTCAGTAAGGTTGGCAGTGTGTGGAATGTTTCAGTAACAAAGGTTGACATTGTATAGAATGTTTCAGTAACAAGGGTTGACAGTGTGGAATGTTTCAGTAAGGTTGGCAGTGTGTGGAATGTTTCAGTAACAAAGGTTGACAGTGTATAGAAAGTTTCAGTGACACAAAGGTTGACTGTGTGGAATGTTTCAGTAACAAAGGTTGGCAGTGTGTGGAATGTTTCAGTAACAAAGGTTGGCAGTGTGAGGAATGTTTCAGTAACAAAGGTTGGCAGTGTGTGGAATGTTTCAGTAACAGGTTGGCAGCGGGTGGAATGTTTCAGTAACAAAGGTTGGCAGTGTGTGGAATGTTTCAGTAACACAAGGGTTGACTATGCAGGACAATGTTTCAGTTCCACAACAACTAATTGTCACAGCGAACACTTGAAAAAGACAACATTCATGAAATTTCTAATATAGACTTTATTAGGTCTTTTACAATTAAATTCTACAACTACTTTGATCATTAACAACTTGAGTGTCAATACAAGGGCCTCAAAGCTCTGTGCAGTTGGTGGACTCAATGCAAGATTCTGGAATGAAGTGCAGTGTTGGACTTCAGGCTGGGTATACATTGTATAACACAACGGGTAGTCACACTGTGTACCAGGGGTATACATTGTATAACACAACGGGTAGTCACACTGTGTACCAGGGGTATACATTGTATAACACAACGGGTAGTCACACTGTGTACCAGGGGTATACATTGTATAACACAACGGGTAGTCACACTGTGTACCAGGGGTATACATTGTATAACACAACGGGTAGTCACACTGTGTACCAGGGGTATACATTGTATAACACAACAGGTAGTCACACTGTGTACCAGGGGTATACATTGTAGAACACAACGGGTAGTCACACTGTGTACCAGGGGTATACATTGTATAACACAACGGTTAGTCACACTGTGTGCCAGGGGTATACATTGTATAACACAACAGGTAGTCACACTGTGTACCAGGGGTATACATTGTATAACACAACGGGTAGTCACACTGTGTACCAGACAAAACAGGGCAGAATGCCAATATGATGAAATTGAAGAACTGACTCAATATGAATCCTATCAAAAAATCTCTAATATACATGGTATTGTCAACACTTTGTGATGTGGAGGGAGATTCAATGCAACAAAGGTCGTAGATGTTTACCACTTTGATCATACATCATGGTCTTGATCCAGGTGGATCACATTACCTGTCAGACCAAGGATCATAATCAGGGTGGATCACATTACCCCGTAGACCAACGGTCATAATCAGGGTGGATCAAATTACCTGTTAGACCAAGGATCATAATCAGGGTGGGCCACATTGCCTTGTCAGACCAAGGATCATAATCAGGGTTGATCACATTACCCAGTAGACCAAGGATCATAATCAGGGTGGATCACATTGCCCTGTCAGACCAAGGATCATAATCAGGGTGGATCACATTACCCCGTAGACCAAGGATCATAATCAGGGTGGATCACAATACCCCCATGACCAAGGATCATAATCAGGGTGGATCACATTACCCAGTAGAGCAAGGATCATAATCAGGGTGGATCACATTGCCCTGTCAGACCAAGGATCATAATCAGGGTGGATCACATTACCCCGTAGACCAAGGATCATAATCAGGGTGGATCACAATACCCCCATGACCAAGGATCATAATCAGGGTGGATCACAATACCCCCATGACCAAGGATCATAATCAGGGTGGACCACAATACCCAGTAGAGCAAGGATCATAATCAGGGTGGACCACATTACCCAGTAGAGCAAGGATCATAATCTTGTGAAAAAGGTTATCTGAGCATTCCTGATTCCTGAAAAATGACACTACTAAATGCATATTGACTAGCGGTCACCATGACGACAAAAATGATGAATTTGCAATAGTAGACAAGAATGATTTATAAAGCTGGAGTTGATGAAAACATTCTTTTATTCTTGTTGAAACTATTATTTCAAAGAGATTTCAGGAAATCTAACAACATTTTTTCTTGTTCTTTCCAGCTTAAGCCACACTGAGCAAGCCAATCCGAAAGGACACACAATTTAATATTCGGCCTTAATAATTGTATACTGAATGATAAATATATAAGCTAGTCCCTGTATTTCATAACAAATTGATATCAATAATGAACAGCATTTGAGATATATCACTCTGCATGATATTATCCTAAAGTGGGAGGAAAGCCCAAAGACATGCAGTCATCAATAGTTATCACCTTGGTAAGTGAGTGAGTTGTGTTTTACACCGCTTTTTACAGTATTCCAGTCATATCACGGCGTGCCAGCTTAATGTGGGAGGAAAACCCGAAGTGATGCAGGTCACAGACATTTACCACTTCGGTGAAACCCATGAGCACGGGTATGGTGCTGACAAACCTAGAAACAAACACGGGGTGAACCAAGATTCAAACCCAAAATCATAGGTTTCTAGCATGCCCAAGGGACGCAACTCTGCATAGCGATTTGCGGCTCCTTTGACGACTGGGCCACCCGTGCCCCCATCCCCTTGGTGAAAACTATGAGCACACACCTCTTTCTTTGTCTGTTAACTCATATGTTATGATATCTATCACTGTAACAGTTAATCAGTACCCTACCACACAAAATGTTTCAATTTCACACCACTGTATTGTAAGTGGGCCTCAGAGCACAGAGTAGTTTCCCTTTTAACATGGTTGGTCAAGCTCCTTCCCAGCGCGTGACAACTTCGTTACACTCTCAGTAACATCGCTGCCACCAGTGTGGGCGCGGCCATTACAAGAATCTTGAAATTTGCCCTCAAACCCCATATGTAGTAACGTTTATACTTTTGTTTATGTCTTTGGGAATGCCATCATATTTCAATTTGAAAAGGTTTACGACTGACCATGTTTTCCAGACGAATTTACTTTGTTGTTTTGATAATCAGATTGGTTCGAGATTGCAGACTAACGGAAAATCAACCAACTTCTCCCTTACATTCTTACTATATCAATAACACGATAGTTTTAATGAAACAGAAATTCAAATTGACAAACGAAGAAAGTAATTTAGCAGCGATAAGTGTATTCGGCGCACGACAGTCGACACTTGTTTGTAAACATAACGGTCATTCGGTTGCGAGTTCAACTCCAAGCATGGTTGTGGCCACCTATTCACAGTTGGGAGTTTTGACTGGTGGCAGCGATAGTATAGAGAGCTCCGGGAACGTACTATCGCTGTGAGGAGCTTGATGGTTGGTGGCTGTAGATGTGTTATGACACTCCAGTGAATACATGTATCTTAAAGCATAGGTAGGTGACGACTAAGGATCATAATCTGGGATTTGAACCCATGATCAGAAGATCCTGACACACCAAAGGGACGTAACTCTGTATAGAAATTTTAGGCACTGGAATATCTGAAAATAACTGCGGGAAACTAAAATTACATCAACACCTTGCTTTAAGTTAACTTAATTGTACTAATAAACAGTACGCTGAAGTAAAGGAAAAGACAAAAAGTATTTAAATATTTCTCTTCTTATTTAGGATATGAGTGTGATATCGGCTTAGAATGACATCCTGTTCTTGATTAAGAGCGAACTACTAACTATCAGAACAGTTATTCACTTCAGTAAGAGAGATTACTTCTTAACACTATCTTTCAATTTCCACAGAATAAACGAGGACTGACAAATAAAAATATTAAATATTTTTTATGTTTAGTTGCCAGCTTTTAGTTCACTGATCAGTTCATGAAGCAAAATGAATCAAAAGCATTGAGATTAACCGTATGATATACTACAGTGTGAGTGAGTGATTGAGTATGGTTTTATGTGGCTTTTAGCAATATTCCAGCAATATCACGGCGGGGAACACCAGAAATGGGCTTCACACATTGTACCCATGTCGGGAATCGAACCCGGGTCTTCGGCGTGACGAGCGAACGCTTTAACCACTAGGCTACCCGACCGCCCCCCTACTACAGTTTGAATGAATGGGAGTGTGTGCCACAATCTGATTGGTTGACTAACATTTCTACATGGGATTGGATAATAATGTAACAAGGTCACAGAACCAGGAAATCTGTTAGACTGAATGCACGCTCCAGACGTCTGTTATCGGACCAACCACTGCTGGACAGGATCAGTCCCTGTATCAGGAACACGGTGGGAAAACAACGCTATACCACATATGTACTGGGAATCTACATCATAATTATTCTAAAATACAAACAATATTAACATGAATAACATATCAAAAAATTTAAATATGTTTGAGAATTTTGTCCCTGTAAACATCTTTACATGATGTTTACATTTCAGGATCAAGACACTGATATTAATAATATGCATTAATGCCAATATATGCCAATGAACATGACATCAAGCTTATTATTATACTTTGCACCCCTTGGTCAGTCAAAAGATTATTTATTAAATCCTTATGCAGATCATTCAGAATAGGACTGACAGCGAAAAGATTCACCAATAAATAACTGTTTGTAGTGGTAGAACAATTACAGAGCTGTAGACGGTAGAGTATAAATATCCCAGTGGTTATCTCGAGTGTTGCCATGACAACATGATGTAAAATGGTGATGAGCATGACGTCATATGTATGACAGTGATGACAGGGTGATGACATCTCACACAGGTCATGTGGAGCGACGACGGAGGATGTATTTGCCTTTCTGTAGCTGGGAGACGTAGATACGGAGTTTGGTGTTGTCAGACGTCTTCCGCACCCAGATCTGAAACCAACAGGGATGCACATTAAAAAGGCTGCCTTGAGTTGTGGAGGAATGATGCTACAGTGAGTGAGAGAGTGAGTGAGTGAGTGAGTTGGGTTTAATGCCGCTTTTAACAGTATTCCAGTTATATCGCGGCGTGTCAAGCTTAACATGGTAGGAAAGCCCGAAGTGATGCAGGTCTCAGACGGTTACCACTTCGGTGAAACCCAAGAGCACGAGTATGGCGCTGACAAACCCAGAAACATAATCTGGGCAAACCAGGATTCAAACCCACAATCATAGGTTTCTGTCATTTCCAAGGGACGCAACTCTGCACAGCGAATCATGGCGCCTGAGACGACTGGGCCACCCCTGCCCCCTCACAACAATCAGATACACACTTGTCAGGGTACGACACACAATCAACCAAGTCACCAAGCCTGACCACTCCATCCATTTAGGATTACGCTGAAGACTGTATTTCCTGTACTGACCTCCTGCGAGCCGACGCCTGTGATGACGCCACACACCTTGCCCCCCTCCTTCGACTCCACAAACACTGGCTGGTTCCTGTGAAACCTGGAACACCAACAACGTTGACAGCATCTCGGCACATACAACAGAATGGGGGCAGACTTGTCTGCAACAACGTCAAGGCTTTTTTACCCTTAGGCAAATAAATAATGCAATAGTGAGTGAGTGAGTGAGTGTGGTTTTACGCCGCTTTTAGCAATATCCCAGCAATATCACGGCGGGGGACATCAGAAATGGGCTTCACACATTGTACCCATGTCGGGAATCAAACCCAGGTCTTTGGCGTGACGAGCGAACGCTTTAACCACTAGGCTACCTGACAGCCCTAATAATGCAATAATAAAGGGAGGTAACTCATCCCTGATAGCAATTACATTCATTGGTACATCAGTCATAATTCATGCAATCATTATTCAAAGGAGATATGCAAAATCAGCAATGAAGTTTAAATAATTTGTTATGATGAAGCATTATTGCATTTAACTGAATGAGGGAGTGTCTATTTCCCTAAAAAGCTGACTGGATTCTCCCAAGTGAACACTGTGTTCATCAATCACCCATTAACACGACTAGTTGGCGATGTCACAGTATCAGCTAATGACTTGCCTGATTTGCCCCCAGTAAAGACTAACAGCCTTAATAAGTGTTCACTCTACAGTGCGACTACAGAAAAGCCATGTTTTCTTCAATTATCAGCTAAGTGTTCCCATCATGTGGATTTAATCACTCTTAAAAAGACTTAGTTGTTTTTGTTTCCATGGCTTCCATGAACCAACCATTTTTTTTCTAAAAAGTGCCACTCTACACCAAAAAAACTGCTTAGCATTAGAAATTGGCACTACTCCTGTAGTCCTTGCCAAACTGCCCAATAGTTAAGGTATCATAAGGACTAGTAGAAATTTGCCATTTTTAAGGGTTTTGCAATATATTATCATTATAAGGACTAGCGAACTAAAAATGTTAATTTCTACCTCTGCATTGCTTCAACACCTACCATCTTTTGTCATAGTAGAGTTTGCCATCATCAATCTTGACATCGGACACGCCTTCTATCGGCGTGGGGACAGGCGCCGGCTTCTTGTTGATTGGTTTACCGCTCACTTTATTGATGATGCGGAGGTCATCCTGAATCTCTTGTTCGTCCAAGAAGAAATTAAGCTGAGGTGAGATTAGTTAAGGAAGACATGCATACTCAGTCAGTGTTTAGAACTAGGTCAGGAGTGATTTGTCATACAGTAAACTACGGTTATAATGAACTCGACGGGACCACTAATTTTAGTTTGTAAGGTAGTTCGTTATAAGCATATATACGACATTTATACAACAAATGGTCGGGTCTGAAAAAAAAGTTTGTTATATCAGTCAGTTCATTCTATGCGTGTTCGTTATAACCATAGTTTCCTGTATTTGTTTGTGCCTATTTCGTTTACGTAATGGCAGTTCAGTTATCCAGTATCTTTAAGTGGTGTTTTAACTGCTTTATTTGCAGCCAACCTGACTGAGTGGTCACTTATTCTAGGGGTGGGTGAGGGGGGTGGTGTTTGGGTGTGTGAGTGAAGGGGATTGGTCTTATGACTATCATATTTTGCTGTAATGTGTATCTCATTGGGGCATTATCGTTGACAAACAATCACGCGTTTCATAGTTTTGATGTTCCATATAATGATTTTAGAAAACCTTTGCTACTTGCTAGAATTTGTTTTATGAAGGCACTGAAAGAACTGTCGACCTTTCGATAGGTCTCAAAGAACATTATGTTCTGTGTTTACAACCCTTTCCTACAGTCTGCATCATGGGATTCTCCCCAGCACACGCTGCTTTTATCAATTGCCCTTGTAACCATGGTAACCCTGACAACTGTATGTATCTTAAATAGGCTGATGACCAACCTGACCTGCCTTTATCAGTCTTCATTCTAGAGCGCTGGCACTGCAGGATGGCTATGTCTGTTTTAATTATCAGCTCAGTGGGGCAGATGGTTGCATGGCTTCAGATACAAATTAATCTGATATCAAAAACATAACATGAACTCATACCAAACTCAATTTGCGTGTGAGTGAGTGAGTGAGTGAGTGAGTGAGTGAGTTGGGTTTAACGCCGCTTTTAACAGTATTCCAGTTATATCGTGGCATGTAAGCTTAATGTGGGAGGAAAGCCCGAAGTGATGCAGGTCTTAGACGTTTACCACTTCGGTGAAACCAAAGAGCATGGGTATGGTGCTGACAAACCTAGAAACATAATCGGGGCGAACCGGGAATCGAACCCACAATCATGTTTCTGGTGTGCCCAAGGCACGCAACTCTGCACAGCGAATCGTGGCGCCTTAGATGACTGGGCCACCCGTGCCCCCCAATTTACTGGAACTTGAAAGGAACAGTGTGAATAAATTAAGTTCCATCTAATGCTGTTAGATTTGTTCCAAAGCTTTGATGTGGATATCGTGTCATACCATAAAACTGATACAAGACAGCATGTTTACGAGTAAAGCGTGTATAAAGGGCACACGCCTCTAAACAGCTGTATTCTGAGGGAACATGACCTGGTGATACTTGGTATTGGCACAGTAACAAAATATTTGGCATATATTCAAACAACAAAGGATATCAGGCGATGGTTTCCTCCGCTTCTCTGGAAGTGGCACTGGGTCATTTGGCCTCCTCCGCAGTTTCCTCGTCATGATCGGCTTCACTTCCATAAAGTCTGTCATTCCTGCAGAGATATTCAACACCAGTTGTAGTTGACATAACAGTGAGTGACTGAGTATTGTTTTACGCCACTATTTGCTATATTCCATCATTACCATCTTCTTGAGACAAGAGAGTTAACTGACTATAAAAGTCCAGTTTCCACCCTTGCCGCACTAGGCTGGTATTATGGAGTTACATTTTGGCTGGAATAACGAGTCTATGCATAGTCCAATCAAAATCGTGCACCGTAATCGAAATCCGGATTGTAAACATTCGTGCAGATTTCGGCCGAATGCAGGATTTGCAAAGCATGTGCACGACAGATATATTTTTCCAGAATTTAATTGCCCATAATTAAGGTTGCATATATACACACGAGTGCGTATTATACGCGAATAAATAAGTCTTGTGTACATTTATCAATCGGAAGGGGTGCTAATTGGGATTGTTCACAAGCCAATTTATTAGCAAATATCGCCGTGGGCGCTTATTACGTCAAATACGGTATATCACAACATGTCAGCTTGATGTGGGAGGAACGTTTTAATACAATTAATGACAGTATTCATGTGGCACCATCATGTACTGCATAATGATAATCACTAGTTGGATAACCTAAATGTCATAACCTGACACAGAGATAGATGAAACTACCGCACAGTACATAATCTTGAAGTCACTCAGCAATATTCCAGCTTTATGACAGTGGTCTTTAAATAATCGAGTCTGTACCAGACAATCCAGTGATTGATATCATGAGCATTGATCCACCATTTGGGATCGATGACATGCTTCAACCAAGTCAGCGAGCCTTACCATCCGATCCCGTTAGTCGCCTCTTATGACAAGCATAGTCGCCTTTTACGGCCTAATCTTGAAGTACCCACAGTTAAATGACATCACGCCCAAGAAAACAGATTACACATAACTCAGGGAAGTAGGGTGGTAAATACATCTCAGTTATAGTGAGTGAGTGAGTGAGTGAGTGAGTTGGGTTTAATGCCGCTTTTAACAGTATTCCAGTTATATCACGGCATGTCAGCTTAAGGGAGGAAAGCCCGAAGTGATGCAGGTCTCAGACGTTTACCACTTCGGTGAAACCCACGAGTACGGGTATGGTGCTGACAAACCTAGAAACATTATTGGGGCGAACCAGGATTCGAACCCACAATCATAGGTTTCGGGCGTGCCCAAGGGACGCAACTCTGCACAGCGAATCACGGCGCCTTAGACGTGCCCCCTCAGTTATAGTGAGCATGTTGAGTGTATTCAAAGATTAATGTTGTGTGGACAATAAAGGGTTGGTGAGACACCAATTTGAAATTCTTTGTTTTACATGCACGTAGACATAAATGTAAGTTGTAGTTTTCAATGTGCATGTATTATATAACTAAATCACGCCCTAAGAAGCAATACCAAAGGTGTAAGAACCTGTACCACTGCTAGTGTTCATGTCCATCGTTCCCCTCTCACACTCCACGTTTCTCTTCTTCTCCTCCAAATCCATGATTAGACTTTCCTTCAGTTCGATCTTCTTCTCCTGAGGAGAAACACATCATTTCATCCAAGTATCATCCAATATAACCAAAGTCAGTTAAGTTCAAGTATTTAAAGGGTTTAATTCTAAAAGTAGAAATTTGTTCCCATTAGGGCAAAATAAAGTATTGTTTGTTGCACATTGATTTAAAAACTGAAATAATTCTTTAACCTAGTTCCTGATAGTATGTTTTAAACTTACAAATGATATTGTCATTACTCCGAACGTCGATGTCTCTACTGTAGTGAGTGAGTGAGTGAGTGAGTATGGTTTTATGCCACTTTTAGCAATATTCCAGCAATATCATGGTGGGGGACACCAGAAATGGGCTTCACACATTGTACCCATGTCGGGAATCGAACCCGGGTCTTCAGCGCGATGAGAGAACATTTTAACCACTAGGCTACCCGATCGCCCCTCTCTACTATAGTGACCAAGTCATAATCAAGTCGGGACCAGACAATCCAGTGATTGACATCATGAGCATCGATCCATGCAATTGGGATACGATGGCATGCATCAACCAAGCGAGCCTGACCACCCGATCCCGTTAGTCCGTTACAGTATGAAACAGCCCAGTATCCATCTCAAATGTTGAGTAGTATAGAACCATAGTTATCTTAACAAAGAGCTATGTAAAACAAAGTCTGGAAGACACCCCTGAAAGAGACAAATCAAGTCAACCTATTGATGATGCAGGGTCCTTGTGACACCTCACTCAACATTATTCAAGCTTTAAGATGGCGGACTGAAAATCTAGACCAGACAATTCAGTGATTGATATCATGAGCATCGATCCATGCAATTGGGATACGATGACATGCATCAACCAATTCAGTGAGCCTGACCACCTGATCCTGTTAGTCGTCTCTTAAGACATGCATGGGTTGTGAAGACCAATTCTAACCCAGATCTTCATGGGTGACAAGCATGGCTTGCTGAAGACAAATTCTAACCCAGATCTTCATGTGGGACAAGCATGACTTGTTGACAACCAATTCAAACCTAGATCTTTATTGTGGACAAGCTTGGGTTGTTGACGACCAATTCTAACCCATAACTTCATGGGGGACAAGCACTGGTTGTTAAAGACCTCTTACCCAGATCTTCATGTACATAGAACAATACAATGACCATGTGTGTCGTGCAACTGGGGTTGTCTCCCTTCCCTCACCTCAAACTCTTTAGCTGATGCTTTCTTCTCTTTCTTATGTTCTCTCTCAACTATCTCCAGCTGAAACACAATATACAACAAATCATGAAACAGCTACTGTTCTAGTGAACACAAGGATACATCGACACAATTGAGTGAGTGAGTTTCATTTTATGCCTCTTTTAGCAATATTCCAGCAACATCACGGCGGGGGGCACCACAAATGGGCGTCACACATTGTACCATTGTCGGGAATCGAACCTGGGTCTTCGGCGTGACGAGCGAATGGCACTTGGCTACCCGACCGCCCATCAACACAATTTAAGCACTAGAGTCGACAATTAAAACATAAACATGTCAGTCTACTAATATTCTCATCCAATTTATTTGGAAAGTGAATTTATTTTTTTTACCTTGATATTTCTAAACACACAGTTCAACTTCAAGGAATCTGTGAACATTTACTGTCAACTGTTGTGATATGAATTTTTGGTAGAATTGTAAGATGGGAACACAGCGGTTATCTTTATTGGTACTTGATGACAATGACATTATGTGAGGCAGTGTCTTTTGTAACGTGGTAACAATGAGGGAATGAAAGTAAACCTAAAAATTCATAATTTAAGACCCCAACAATTTTATAAATAATTAGACATTTCTGCTTGCAACAATGGTAAATCTGATATCAATATCAAACATAGAGTTTGACTTAACAAAAATTGCATACCATTTCCATTTCGAATCAATTATAACAGACCTTCAACAGTTGTCGGTTTTAGATCAAAGTAAAAAAAGAGAGAATGAACCAAATAACCTGACATAGTACTAATCCAGAAGTCAAGGATCAAAGTCTGGGTACCTCAGATTCAAACCCATGACAAGAGGATCCTGACAGCTAAGGGACATAACTCTTGCACAGCGAGGTGTAGAACCAAGTACCTGGGCCCCCTGTACCCACGAACTAATCTTTGAGTGGTCAATAGGAAACATTTGAAACAAATACTGGTAAACAGTATGCTAAGACAATTGATGGGTAGAATATTCTACTCTACCTCAATATCTCTCCAGATCTCGTTCAGACGCAGTCTTTCACGATACTGCTGTTCGATCCTCCTGTTCCGCTTGATGTATTCGGGGAGGGTGCCTTCCTTCAGATGCTGCAGTTGCTTTTTCAGATGAGCCAATTTATCCTGGTACATCCTGGAAAGCAAAACAATATTATTTACCACTACATGTTCGGCTACTGGGGGGATTTTGACCATTACATTATTGTTGCAATAGTTAAAACTATATGGTGATAATCATCATGATAAGTAACATGATCATGGTCATTTGTGCATGTGACAATGTTATTTCATTATGGCCAAATGCAACTGCTCCGATTGCAAGAAAGTTTTTTTTATTATTTACTAGCTCACTTTCAACAGCACAGTGAGTCCATTAAGAGTCACTTGAGTGAGTGAGTGAGTTGGGCTTTTAACAATATTCCAGTTATATCGTGGCGTGTCAGCTTAATGTGGGAGAAAAGCCCGAAGTGATGCAGGTCTCAGACGTTTACCACTTTGGTGAAACCCACAAGCATGGGCATGATGGGTATGGTGCTGACAAACCTAGAAACACAATCGGGGCGAACCGGGATTCGAACCCACAATCATAGATTTCTGGCGTGCCCAAGGGAAGCAACTCTGCACAGGGAATCGCAGCGCCTTACATGCAACAAATAATTTTAATGAAACATGGTCATACTATAGATGTAAAGCCGTCAAGAACGCTTTATTGATGACTTGTACACCGCTCTGGCCCCAGGGTAAAGCTCCCATCTGTTTGTTGTTTAAGGCTGCACTAAGCAATATTCCAGCTATATGACGGCGGTCTGTAAATAATCGCGTCTGGACCCCGCAATCCAGTTGAACCCACAATCATAGGTTTCTGGCGCAATGCACGCTGCACTCTGCACAACGAATCACAGCACCTTAGACGCCTGGGCCACCCGTGCCCCTAAGAGTAACTTGAAGAATAAATGGGGGACTTACTGCTCCCTTATCTCAGTGCGGGGAAGATTGTTCTGCTGCTTGTCCTCTGTTTCGCTGGCATCTTCAGTGTCTGCATTCAGAAATTAGAGTAAGAATTCTGTAGGTGATCTATTTGGCCTGTGGGGGTGTGTCTTCTCTTAATCAGGATGGCATTCTCATAAACAGAATTGGGGCCATGAATCCAATCACAGTCATTGGGTTTATAGGATGCATGGGTTATAAAAACTGATACAGATAACAACGGTTATAATGAACTCAAAGGGACCACTAATTTTAGTTTGCAATAACCATAGTTTGTTATAAGCATATATACAGCAAATTTAGGGGACTTAAACATAAGTCGTTATATCGGTCAGTTCGTTATAAGCGTGTTCGTCATAAACGCAGTTCACTGTATTTGTATGTGTGCATGAACTACGAATTCCTGTGGTGTGTAATAATGGTGCTACCAAAGGTTTTCCAAGGGCTAAGACACGAGAGAGGGAATCTAGAAACGAAATGTTCATAGGCTCAGATATTAGATTTGAGCGAGACAAAAGACACTTGTAAAGTGCCATCTACCCCTGTCTGCACGTTGTCCAATATAAGCCAAAAATGGCATTTTTTTTTATCTAAAGATTACTTTTATTGACAATCAAAATTTCAAAGTTCCATTTTCGTAACCTTCATCAGAATCGTTGCCGTCCTCGTCTGTGCTGTAGATGTCGTCGTTGTCGAGGTCGTCGTCGTTATCTGGTCTCGGCGATGAAGTATAGCTGGACATTTGATTTCAAAATATCCCACATACACGCCTCGGTCGTGCTCTCCCTGTTTTGTTTGTCTCAATATATTTCCGGCTGCGAGCGCGCACCTGCGGAAGTTGTTGATTCGTTCAAATCTTAATTCTAATCGATCATTTTGAATAATATTTTGTTTAATATATTGAAAATCTTTTCAAAATGATATAACTTAAGACATATGGATTTTATACAATAAATAAATAAATGAACTGTTGATGACAAATTATGCGTAAATAATACACAATGTTTTGAATCAAAGTTATCGGTGTGAATTGAAAGAAGAAGGTTTCCGGTAACACACGCATGCGTATTACACGTGGCTGAGATCAACAAGTATGGCGGCCCAAACGTTTCAGCAGGAGTATATGCAGATGCCCCCAATAACAAGGGCATATACAACTGCATGTGTGCTAACAACTATTGCCGTGGTGAGTATTATAACGTTGAAACAAGTAGGATCTGCGATTTCGACACCTTTATGCTGATAACATGTCGATCTGAGTGAGTCAATTGAAAGTACACCGACCGGTGTCAAAGATTTCACAGACGCTTCGGTAAAGTTATGTTGATGCCAAACTTTCTATTCTCTGGTTATGTCTGAGAATGAAAAATCAATACATTTAATACCTCTCGCGAAAGTATGGACGCAGTACTATATGAATATGACACTTGTCCTCACAAGGAATGACTCGAGGCGAAATAAGTTCAATTTCATATCATTGGCCATCAGCCAGTCAGTCACAGCTGATCAGGGAGTAGAATTCAGTATCACGAGGATAATTAGTCAGTAAACTCGGTTTGGGAAATTTTGAACATTCAGATATTGTTATTAGCAGATGAAACCAATGTATAAAAAACCGTATCCGTTAGGGTCTTTTATCCCCGTGTTATGTGTTTTCGGACTTTTTAAAAACATTCGTAATTTTGTGGCTAATCACAAGAACTAACTGTAGAACATCTCTCACTAATAAAAGATGTCTTTATCTTAAAAACAGGCCATGATCTGAGTATTTACAATGTCTGTGTGATGCCACACCCCTTGTTATACCATATGTAATCGTGATAAGCATGGCCGTCCAAAAGCAAATGATGTCCTAAAACCTATTAACTGACGATACATGATTTTAGGATAAATTTGCAAATGTAAAAGTTCAGATATGTACTACTTTCAGTGTTTACAAACATTGTCTTGTCCTAATCTATTGTTGATTGAGTCAGAGTTGACTACTACTGGGATAATTGTTATCATTATCAAAATAATAGTCTGAGTTACTGAAAACAGCGTCCGTACAGACTTGAAAAAGCCTTAATTTTTAAGGCCCCTCTTGAGTAGTTGATAAGCCCTGAATTTTAATATCAACCTTGAAGAGTCTTGAAAATCCCCCAAATAGCTTGAAAAGCCTTGAATGTGCAAAATGACATGTACATATATTATCAAAATATTAAAGCACACAAAAATATGTACCAATGATGTTTAAGTGAGATTTATCACAGTGATAGATTTGTGTGCCAAACATGAATACCCCAAAGAATTCATGACAGACTTAATTTATTTTTTTTGTTCTGTGAAAATAAATTTTGTTGGAAATGTGTGATGGTCATACAGCTTTTTAGGCCTTATGACTAATATATAGAATGCTTGATTTGATGAAATATTGACAGACCTTGAAAATGACAGTTGTCAGCAATGGTCAGTCTTGAAAAGGCCTTGAATTTTAGTACTCCTGTGTAAGATATCAGCATGATCAGCATTGGTATTACATGGTAGCAATGGCCCCTAGAAGTTATGAGCATGCATTCAGTGGTAACCATGGTAACTGCAACAGGAATGGTGAATATGGGAAAAAGAAATTGACATTTGGATCAGCGCTACATCTTTAAAGATAAGGATTAATTAACATTCGTAAATATTTGGAAACAATTTATATTTGTAGATTTTGCTTTGGTCATGTCCATTATTGTCTATGAATACAGTTTATTTCACATGTTTCTCTCTTTTCTTTTCAGCAACTTGATATCATCACTCCATTCCAAATATACTTCAATCCAGACCTTATATTCAGGAGTTATCAGGTAGGTCATGAAATTACTGTTCACTGATTTGTTTGAAATGAAAGGGAACAAGCAATGATGAGATAGGTTGAACTGTGGTAATTTGGCCAGAAAAAAATATCTTTGATATTAAGCTACTTTAGCACGCTATATAAAGGCCGAACAATAATGTTGATGTGGTTCTGATTACCCGATCAAAACTTACATTTTTCAGTGGTATTCTTAAGCCATTATGAAAGCAAACATGGGAAAAAATCCACTGTTGCACAGTTGATTTACAAATAAGAAATGTGTGGCTACCCTAGTTTGAAATTTAGTATACCGTAAGCGCCCAGGGCACTCTTGAAATTAAAAATAGGGGTCTCTTATTAGAATATTATTTTCGTGAAAAAACATATATTTTTCTAGAATTTAATTGCCCATAATTTAGGGTACATATAACACACGAGTGCGTATTGTATGTGAATAAATAAGTCTTGTGAACATTGATCAATCGGAATGGGTGCTAATTAGGATTGTTCACTAGCCAATATATTAGCAAATACCGCCGTGGGCGCTTATTAGATCAGGGCGCTTATTACGTCGAATACGGTAATGGGAACCGGCCCATTTTTAATACATTTGGCCTAGGTATAGACAGTCTTGTATGGCAAGTAGGTGTTGGAGGCACACTCATTCTGAGGGGTGGCAGGTCGCCTGGTTAATGGGTTTGCTCGTCACATTAAACACCATGATGTTAATGAAATAATAGTAAAACTAGCATCCAACCTCACTCACACAGTGTCCATAATAACTGCCTGCCTGTGGCTGGTAACTTTTCTGTCAGACTGCATGAAATTTTTCTCTGTCTGTCAGATAATTTTAAGACTACTTTCGTGTTCAGTTTTATTATTACTCCTTGTAGATTCTCAAGTAATTATTTGCATTATTTCAAAAGAATCAAGACACGATGTGTCTCGGTTTTTTGTTCCAAGTTTTCAATATTTATAATGTCTAAATGTGGGCAAGTAACATTGACGATGGGCAGGTAACACTTATGTGTCAACTACCCGACTGTCTTGTTGGGTTTTAAAATTATTTCAAACACTGATCACTCACACTCATTGTACCTATCATATTACAAATAGCTGTTATTAAATGTATGTTAACAGTCTTTTCCAAAGACTCTTGTATCATCTAGCCTAAATAAGGCTCCAAGCATAATTTGCAGTAGCGTATAGATTAATGATTATATGGACTATTATTAACTAAGTTTGCGAGACTGAATGGAATTTTACTAGACTCAGGCTTTGGTCTAGTGGTTTAAGCCACAGACTTGTTTATGATTTGTTCATTAATCTACGATGTCAGCATGTTTATGACTATTTCTGTTTATCATGTTTATGTAACCATGGTACCTTTGTCTCTTACAGTTATGGCGCCTGATCACCAACTTTCTCTACTTCGGCCCCATTGGGTTCAACTTCCTGTTCAACATGATATTTGCATATCGTTATTGTCGGATGTTGGAAGAGGGTTCCTTCAGAGGCCGCACAGCCGACTTCTTCTTCATGTTTCTCTTTGGAGGTCTTTTAATGACTGTATCCTTTCAAGTTTTTGTTGAGGAGTAGAGACATGGACATTTACATAGATATAAGTTAGGTTTTAACTTTTTCTTGGTGTTTTACCATTCCTATTTTACATGCCTCCGAGGGCAGTCAGTAATTTTGCTAGAGACAATGGCAATGGGACATTTGTATGATTTATGTTAATTTTAGCTCATCTGACTGAAAGTCATGTGAGCTTATGTCATGGCATCTTGTCTGTTGTCCATCCCCAGCTATGGTCTCTGTAAAACATGCTCGCTAAAACATGCTCACAATTTTAATCATGGCCGCCGCAACAGCCATTTTGAAATTGTCATTTTTGCTCATTACTTAGCCATTTCTGCATGTACCATTATTAAATTTTATATACACAATAACATAAACTCCATTTAATATGTTTTGTATTTTGATCAAGCAGAAAAATTTGACCTTCACATATTCCTGTTTTTATATTTTTTCCTGCATTTTCAACATCTCTGAACATGCTGAAAGTACAAGGACAAAAGTAAGCTGAAACTTTACAAAGATATATCTCCTTGACCCTGTTTCAGATCATTGCATTGTTTGTAAATCTAGTGTTCCTGGGAAGTGCTTTCACGATAATGCTGGTGTATGTGTGGAGCAGAAGAAACCCCTACATAAGAATGAACTTTTTCGGGCTCATGAACTTTCAAGCACCATATTTACCATGGGTGCTTCTTGGTTTCTCGTTGTTGCTAGGCAACTCTATAATAGTTGATCTTATGGGTAAGTAAATTTAGTCAGACATCAGTATTTACATTTCACTTTAAGTTATGTTGTTATTTTCTTCAGTTCTTATGAACTCTGTAAGTATGGTTAGTACATTTTTAAATTTATAATTTAATTTTTTAACATTTTCCTTTGAATTATGTTATTATTTTCTGCAGTTATGTTACGTCGAAGGTGTTTATCATTTAATGGACATCAATAAGATTTTTTTGTAATACCGTATTCAACGTTATATGCGCCCTGCTCTAATAAGCGCCCACAGTGATATTTGCTTATATATTAGCTAGTGAACAATCCCAATTCCTTCCGATTGATCAATGTACACAAGACTTATTTATTCGTGTATAGTACGCATTCTTGTGTTAAATGCTCCCTTAATTATGGGCATTTAAATTCTGGAAAAATATATCTGTCGTATATAAACATTTCAGGCTTGTCAGCATAAACCACGAAATTTATGAATTTTCAACTCTGTTTTTTTTTTTTACCAAAATAATATTCCCATAAGAACACCCAATTTCTAATTACGTTGACCACCTCCGTGGTCTAGTGGTAGAGCGTCCGCCTGGAGAGTGGAAGGTCCGGGGTTTCGATCCCCGACCGCGTCATACCAAAAGACGTTAAAATATGGTACTTGTAGTTACCCTGTCTGGCGCTGGACTGGTCGGCTCGGAGTTAGTATACTGTGTCTGAGTGGGGTATTCATGTTAAACTGTGGCATGGTATCTCAGTGAGCTAGCACTATAAATCGGCATCAGCCCGGACTAGAACAAGCAGCCACGCAAACACACACGTACATGCACGTCGCTATAAAAGGTGAAATAATCTTGGACGCGACGTTAAACCCCATTTCACCTCACCTCTAATTATGTCAAATATGGTATAGAAAAATCCATTAATTACCCTGATAATAGGACCTAAACATGATTAAGGTAACAACCATTTTGCTGTTTTTTTATTTTACACGTTCAAAGCAGAGAGTAACCCAGAGTCTGAACAAATGTTCAACAAGGCTGTATTCATCATGATTATAAACAAATATTCTGTTTTGGATTTTCTTTGGTACCTCCAAATTTCCTCGTTTCGGAGAGAGAAATGATCAGGCAGTCCAGGTGGTCATCTTCCCGAGGCAAGCTTGGCCACTAGCTTATATCACAGCCTAGTTTCTACCCTTGCCTCATCAAGGCCACTTTTCTTGGTGCCACCTCGTGTCGATCATGAGTTGTGTCCCTTGTCATGAAAACGTGATATCCAATCAGAGCGCTGTTCTTATCTCGTATAGTTTCACAAAGATGGCAACTACCATAGGTGACGACCAAGTCAACCAGATAACAAAAACAGTCACGATTTCATCCCTGACACAAAAACATAGGCATTCGTTGGGGTGTGTGTGTTTAAAATAAAAAACATATTCGTGTCAACAAAGAGCGACAGTGGTAAATCACTTTCATTCAAAGGTGTACTAGTCGTCGATGTTGATTTTGTGAAACATTCTCTGATTGGACTATTGATATGTGCGATAGTCCAATCATATTTAGCACAGGAAAGTGGGCTTGATGTGGCAAGGTGGAAACAAGACTTTGATAAATAGGCTAGTGGACGTTCTTGCCTTGGGAAGATGTCAAGTGGTTAAATCATTACTCTTCATGCAGAAGACCCAGGTTTGATTGTCCACATGGGTACCATGCAGTGTTCAAAAATTAAAAGGGGTCCTGAAGATCCGGGGTAGAATAGTTCTTCAGCAACCCATGCTTGCCGTAAAAGGCGACTATGCTTGTAAGAGGCGACTAATGAGATCGGGTGGTCAGGCTCGTTAACTTGGTTGATGCATGTCATCTATCCCAATTGACTGGATTGATGCTCATGATATCAATCACTGGGTTGTCTTGTCCAGACTCGATTATTTACAGACCACCTTCTTTCATACCTAATCTTGAAACACAGCGATGTGTGAAGCAAGCCTTTGTTAATGTCTTGTACAGTGGTATGCTGAAAATAACGTATTCGACGTAATTAGCGCCCCGCTCTAATAAGTGCCCACAGCGATAATTGCTAACATATTAACTAGTGAACAATCCCAATTAGCACATCTTCCGATTGATCAATGTACACAAGACTTATTTATTCGCATATGATACGCACTCGTGTATTATATGCACCCTTAATTATGGGCAATGAAATTCTGGGAAAATATATCTGTCGTACATAAACATTTCAGGCTGTCAGCATAAACCACGAAATTTATCTTTCAACTCTGTTTTTTCCACCAAAATAATATTCTAATAAGAGCCCCCAATTTCTAATTTTGAGACCGCCCTGGGCGTTTATTAGGTCGAATACGGTATTGTTGAAAGACATGTAAACACTCACTCACAGGGCAGAAGGCCGTTGAAATATTTTGAAGATAAGAATCTCGGTGCACCTTGTGATCCTGTTTTTCGAATGCGTGTCTAACGTGTGTGTCTTGATTCCAGGTATAGCTATAGGCCATGTCTACTACTTCCTTGAAGATGTGTTTCCACAGCAACAGGGGGGATTTAAGTTGCTCAAAACACCAAGTATCTTGTAAGTTGTTGAAAAACTACTTTTCTTTTTAAATCTGCAGTAGTATTTGTCTATTTGTTGTGTTTTAGGAATGTCCTTTGGAGTATGCAGGGTCATGCTCACTGACCTTTGTTTAGGCTTTCTTTGAAAGACATGTCAGAGTTACTTCCCTTTCTATGTCAATCTACCATCTCCTCACAACGGAAGCCCGTTCGCGGAGCTCTCTATTTTATCACTGTCACAGCTCCCCACTGTGCTAGGTGGACTCAACCGTGCAAGGAGTTGAAACTGCCGACTGACTGTTATGTTTACAAGCGGTGACTGTCATAATGACGAATATTCGCCCAGCTAAATTGTTTTTACTGCTCAAACCAGCATTTAACTCCCTCATTCACTCACTTTGGGCTTACTGCCCCATTAAGCAGACGTTGTGCTATAACAGAAATACTTCTCAAAGTGGCATTAAACCCAAGTCACTCACCCTCTCTCTGTCTTTCAGAAAATACGTATTCGATGCAGCCCCTGAGGATCCTAATTACAACCCTTTACCTGAAGATCGCCCTGGTGGGTTTGAATGGGGGCAAGGTCAGAGGGTGGGGGCTCAGGAACAAGGTCAAGGTCAAGGTCAAGAGGGAGATGGAAACTGAGAGGCCATAGATCTTCCATGACTATCCCAAACTGTTTAACGACTCACTGACTCTAAAGAACGATGCAATATTAAGATTTTCAGTCTTAGCATTGAACAGGGTCAATCGTAATCGCCAGAAGCCGAGCTGTGCGGCTGAATGTTTTTCAGCCAATTCAATCCGTGATCTGTACGACCTACAGTGTTGGTGCCCCACAGGGATGGCTTCTGAATCCATCATCATTATCATGGTTTGCAAGAGAGAAAAAGCACTATTCAAGGACTATACAAAATTCACTGCAGGTGCTTGAAAACTTACAGTGGACGATGTGCAAAGGTTTCAGTTTGATGGAATTAGAAAACATGATGACAGTGTCTGATCAGGGACCGGTCATTTACGATAGGGGTGGTTGTGTCAGAGGGAAACATGACATTCTGTAGGGGAGGGCCATAAAAATTAATTCAGTTAAGTCCCGTTAATCAGACAAGGTTGGTTGCATATGATTATGTCGGATTAACGAGTATGTTGGATAAACAAAATTAGGTAGTATCAACGTCCGTGATCGAAAATTGGACAACCACACGATAGATAACGATTCAAACATGTTGTAATAAAAAAGGAAATATTCATATTGTTGTGTAACATTGTCAGCGGAATATGTTTTCTAATCATGCAATCTCTAAAGTTTAACACAAAACTACTGTTATGGACTGTATGACTGATTCAAAATACTTTTTAAAGCGTGGTCTGGAATGGAAGTCACCAATTTGAAGCTAGTACCGCAATGTTTATTTAAAGCATGCAGTAATTGTTTATTGTTAAGCAAGTTTATCTCTGCAGCCGTTGAAATATGCAGCTACTCGCCGACTCGTCTCGCATCAAAACACGGGGCTGTGTACTCGCGGGCAGATGATCACGGAGTGTGTTGATCACTGTGTCGGATAACGAGACTGATTAATGAGTAATTTCAGCAATTCGTTGCAAATTAGGTGTGTCGGAGTGCGAGACTGTTGAAATAGCACTGATTTAATCAGTTCCCATCATTTGTGTCCGATAAAGCCGATTGTTGGATTAACGAGTGTCGGATTAACATGACTTGACTGTACACTTATTTGAGGAGGGTCATGAAACAAAGAGCCCTCCCCATCCCCTCTAAGAAATGACAGGTCCCTCAGATAGTTACTGAAATTCTGGGAAGTAGGGAATAAAAGGAACTTGTTATGAAAGTTGAGAATGGATGATCGGTGATGATGTTGTTTTGATGTTTATGCATGATGGAAGTATATATGATGTTAATGTATCTTTTTAATGATGTTATTTGTATGTATTTCATTGATCATGTTGATTGTGTTTGTGTCGGGGACATTCAGAACTGTTACCAGGGTTACTGGTATTTATAATTGAGGATGCTGAGGTAACAGTTAAATCAGAATAAGTATGCCATTATTTCATAAACACAGTAATTTTTGTTCAGTAGATTTGTATGGAATGTTCATAGCGTATGCAGTATTAATATGATCATGCAGACTGTCCTTCCAACATGTCAAAACTCTCACTATGAGATCATATAGTCAGGGGTTGCCATGGTTATGATTGACTCATGAGTACAGTGTGTGAAGCCTATTTCTGGTGTACCCCGCCGGGATATTGCTGGAATATTGCTAAAAGCGGCGTAAAACCATACTCACTCACTCACTATGATTGACTCATGATCAGTTTTAGAGACAAGTCAAAATAATAGTCAAAACAAATTCCTGCTAAAACATTTTTTGTAATCTTACGAAATCTTTCAACTTTGATCACATAGACCATTGTGACGTCATCAGTGACCATGACGTCACAATCACTTGACATCACTAATATCTCTGCCACTGAAGCTGGCTAGCTGTAGTTTATACACACAAGTCATACCTGTACCCTACTCCTGATTAGAAACTGAAAAAGTTGGATGATAAATAGAATTTCACTGTGTATTTTCTATATCAACAGTCGTGATAAATATTTAAAACACCTCAGCAAGCCTCTAAGTTTTAAACTTTTGTTGACTAGTGTTGATATGTTTCATGTCGATAGAAGCTAGGATGAGATTCTCTTTAAAATATATAGCTTATGTTTCTTGGTGTTTATGGAACCCAGAAGGCAGCATGGAAAGCTTCAGGCAGTTCCAAGTTTTGATGGTGTTACTATTAACCGATGCACTGTGCGTCAACTTCACACCCGACATGATATCCTGAAGATCCGGGGTAGAGTAGGTCTTCAGCAACCCATGCTTGCCGTAAAAGGCGACCATGCTTGTCGTAAGAGGTGACTAACGGGATCGGGTGGTCAGGCTCACTGACTTGGTTGATGCTCATGATATTAATCACTGGTCCAGACTCGATTATTACCTGTCATATAGCTGGAATATTGCTGAGTGTGGCGTTTAACAACAAACCAACCAACCAACCAATGATATCCTGTATTGATTCATATTTTTATTCTTGAATAAACTTTCAAAATATAATATCTAAGAAGTTTTAATAATAACCACACCTAACTGCTCTGGTTAGCATGACCTCAATGTCTGCCATGAAACAAAATACTGAATCTGATTGCATAACACTCTTTTATGAGTTTGAGGTATCAGCCCCTCGTTATGGCGGCTATATTGAGCATTGAGAATTTCATGCAAAAAAAGCTCGAATTATTGATCATGACTCAGGTTACGGGATATGTTGGGTAGGCTATGGCCTTTAATTTTTTATTAGTTGTAGATGCTCAGAATTAAAAAAAATTTTTTTCCAGCTTTCAGTATTGTGACAGCATCACGAAAGTATGATTGCAACACGATACAAAAAGATAATGGATTGTGTTTTTCGTTAGATAAAAGATTTTTATATCATTTATTCACCATTTCTTAGGTACAGTGATGATGAAATCTCATGTTTTTTTCCATTTCACCTAATTACAAAAAAGTCGGACAAAATGTGTTATGTGGAAAGTCAGTTTATTATTTTTCTAATTTCATTTTTTTTTTGTCAGTTCAGTCTTGTAAACTGGTAGACCAACTAAAAAGATAGGCGACCTTATCGTGACACGATATGCATTATGATTAAACATGGCATGTTTGATTTTCAACAAATTATTTCATCAAGATGTCTGTGACAAACATTTTTATCTCTTTGTACCAGAAATGTGCATAATTTTAACATGATTTTGTCAAAACGCTTTTTACTATTTGGTTTTACAAGCTGTCTCTTGATGCATTTCTTGACCGGTTAGCATAAACTTGACTGACGTAATTTTTCAAAACTATTAGCCAGTTAACTCGATGATAAACACCAGTAATGCCACTGTCATTAAGATGAAATAGTTATTAGTAAAACAACAAATACATCGTATATGCTGCCATTACAGTTACTGTTATTTTATGCAAAGGCTTCTAGACATACAATTTCTTTGAAATTGCTTGGAGCTATGACTCATTCTATTTCCAAGTGCATTCAGTGAATTTTGTTGTACAACACTACCGATATATGTTTTTGGCGAATTAAGTGTGTTCTTTGTGTATGAAGTTTGACTTGATGTGTTATGGTTGTATATCATATCTTCATTAAGTCTGAATCTCGAAGAATTGCAGACCAGTGAAGATCCGGGGTAGAATAGATCTTCAGTAACACATGCTTGCCGTAAAAGGTGACTATGCTTGTCGTAAAAGGTGACTAAAGGGGTCCGGTGGTCAGGCTCGCTGACTTGGTTGATGCATGTCATCGGTCCCAATTGCGTGGATCAATGCTCATTACATTCATCACTGGATTGTCTGGTCCAGACTCGATTATTTACAGACCGCCGTCATATAGCTGGCATATTGCTGAGTGCGGCGTTAAACAACAAACCAACCAACCAACTAACAAAGCATTGCAGGCTTCATTTTTTGTAATGTTTCGGACAAGGTCAGGGTGTGTATGATTATGTCTAACATAGTTAAAACATTACACATTGCTGTACAAGGATAAACCTGTTGCCCTGGAGACCAAGTTGAGTCCTGTTGCCTGGGCAACACAAGTAGTTCTTGCCATGCCTTTGCATTAGCAGCGTTAGAAATTGGCACTAGTCCTGTAGTCCTAGCCAAATTGCCCAAGAGTTAAGGTATCATAAAGACCAGTAGAAATTAGCCTGTTTTAAGGGTTTCGCTATTATAGTTTCATTATAAGGACTAGTGGACAAAAACTGTTAGTTTCCATCACTGGTTAGTGTCAAGATTAACCAGAGTATCGATGCACCACAAATTTACATCTGATCTGACCTGTGGAGATCCAGGTTAGATGCAACGTATGCTGGTCGTAAGAGGTGACTAACAGGATCGGGTGGTCAGGCTCGCTGACTTGGTTGATGCATGTCATCTTATCCCAATTGCATGGATCGATGTTCATGATATCAATCACTGGATTGTGTTGTCCAGACTCGATTATTAACAGACCACCGTCATATAGCTGGAATATTGCCGAGTGCGGCGTTAAACAACAAACAAACAAATACATGTGACGGTGCGATATGTGATACGCCTACCTATGAATTGATTTGAGTTTTAGTTCTGTATTGAATTTCATTGGTAATATTTAAGTTTTTGCAAAAACCTGGCTTGATATAGCTTTGGACCAGTAATACATTGCTACCCACTAATCACTATGCTTAACCGTTTTGCATTGCACTGTTAGGATGAGCCTAGAATAGCCAATCTTGTAAGTTCAACATACACTTGTTGATAGCAACATTCTGGTGTCTGGTGCCACATACACTCAACAAAATAAGATCTTAGTGCTTGCACAGGAGTCCGTATCTAAAAATAGACACCCTCATGCATATTCATGACCATCTCCACACGCGAGCCCGCGTGTGGAGATGGTCATGAATATGCATGAGGGTGTCTATTTTTAGATACGGACTCCTGTGGTGCTTGCTACTGCCATACGAGGCTTTGTGTAGCAGTAGTGGACACTAAGATATTATTTTATTGAGATTGGGGCGCATGGGACCTCCACCTCAAATAATTTCCATGAAACCAGGAAAACAACCAAACCCATCAATTACTATTAATGTATTTGCTCGTATGATAAAGATATGCATTTACCTGAAATAGGGTATATCTATCATGTTTTAAGCATATATAATTGAGATGAAAAGATAGATTCTGAAAATGTATCAGGTCTTTCAATGTTATGTACAATTCGAACATGTCTAATGCAATCTCTACTATGATTGGTTGTGTGAGTACACAAGCAGTGGGTGGCTCCTGTCTTCGTACCCATGTCCCTTCATGAACCCCTCTTCCTAAGGCAAGGGAGGTAACTGACGAGAAAAGTCCAGTTTATAGTCAGTTACCTCCCTTGCCTTGGGAAGATGTTACAAAGCATGTGGTTTGTGTTGTTCACATTCTACTTATGTTGGACTTATGGTGGACAACATTTTGACAATATCATGTTGAAATAAATTATTTATTGTTATATTTACTTCTGTTTTCCGATATATATTTAATTATTTTAGCCTCTGTCATCCATGAAGATCCGGGGTAGAATAGGTCTTCAGCAACCCATGCTTGCCGTACAAGGCGACTATGCTTGTTGTAAAAGGCGA